GGCAGGTGGGAAGTCGCGAGTCCCACCGTTCTTCTTCCACCCTTACATCTTTTCGGCCGCTCCTGCAGGATAAGTAAGCACGGTTTTACATGGTTAGCCGAACATTAACGTTGCCCTTGCAGACTTCTATGAAGATTTAACGCCGCGACGTTCATTCCGCGCGAGGCCTTCAACCCCTCGTCCTCTTTCTTGTTTCAGGGATATTTCATCCCCCGCGGATTCGCCGCGTCGGCCCCCGAGACCGATACTTTTGCGAGCGCAGCCTGCACGGCGCACTGCAACCAGTACCGCGAATTTAGTGCTCGATTGTCGTGCAAATTTATTGCGCAGCCTGGCTACCACCCTCTCGATTGGTTTCAGGTGCGAGCTTAATAACACCTCTATGGAAACGTGATGGTTAACTATCTTCCCATTTATTCAGAATGATATTAATGTTAATTATTCTTCGAATTTGATAATTGGAAATGTTAAAAAGAAAGCATTCTTATAAAGGAAGTTGGGGTAGGGAGCTGATGGTTGGGGGTTGGAAAAATGTGAAGCGCTGATCGTGTGAAGCCGCCTTGTGGCTACAACGTTTGCTACCCTTAAGCCAGATGGCAACACAGGGGTTGTTCTATCATCCCGGGTTTTTGACCAGACTACCCTTAAACAAGTTTCCAGAAATTTAATCAAACAATATATTAAATAATAATATCGTCATACATCTATTAAAGTGTATTATTATTATACATTTATCAAATATTAATATCGTTATCCAAGATGAGTCAATAAAAACCAATAAAACAATTTGCTATGGTAATTTTATTAAAATATACGAGCAAATTATATGATCATTTTATTTTATCCTTGTTGAAAAATTAATTCTTGTATTTTATATCATATCAGAAATCATATTTCTTTCTTTTGTAGAGTCACCTCTCATTATACCGAATTTGAACTTTCTATTCATTAAACCAGTCTTATATGTTGGTTTAATGAAGTCAATAAATATTTTACACTGAACGCATTTCTTATTATTCCACAAATTTTATTTTCATGGAAATCGATTTTTCTTACGCTTTGGAACGTGACTTGGATAATTTTATAGAAAAAGTTGAATCCCTCCCTGCCCTGCAGATTTCATTAAGGGCGTTTTAACCGTGTTTTAAATTTATCATCCAATTCGCGCTTTACGATCGGCAGTGTTTTACCGTCTTTACTGTCGAAGTGGCATGCGCCCCTTTATTATCGTTCCTCATTCTTTCCACAGTTTTTATCCCCGTACGATGGCAGCTTCCTCGCTGTAATGGGAAACGTTTAATAGCCGGACAAATTAGAAAGCAGCTGCGTTGGCGGTTTGCCGTTTGAATTTTTTACGCGGTCTGAAAATCCGCCGCGGTGCGACCGTAAAACGATCGAGTAACATTGTATTTACCAAAGGGGCGTTCACGACTGTTGCCACCATGCTGTTTAGGTCGAAATTTGACGAAAAACATGCAAAATATCTTCTCATGAAAGTTGTGACTTAAAATATCGTGAGATTCATTCAATTGAAAAGTTAAATGCCCTTTTTGAATAAATTTAAGTATGTACCGAATTTCCAGGAAGTAAATAAACGATAAATCAATTGCTGTCATTCAATAAAAATGCCTTTGAATTACATCAAGAATTGTACGTGTACTTCACTCTTTCTCTCCAATCTCCGTATCATTTCATATTCAAGTTCTCACCTAGCACCCTTTAAAGAAAAAAGGAACGAGGCTTTGAAAGGTAGGGAAATCTTTAAAAGCGGAGGATGTCGAGGGATTTGGCGCGGTGGTGTGTATAACTTGTGGACTGTCGGCACGTGGCACGTCTCGCCACCCCGACGCGGCACAAATCCCACGTGTACCCTCCGTGTCTGTGTGCGCGCGGCGTTTCAGGCTCGCCCGTTTTTTCTCTCCATCCCCCGGCGGCGCTTGATCCTCCACGGGAGGGTACTTTTTCTAACAGGTGGTGGCCCGCAACGGTGCAGCTCTTTTTTTTTCCCCAGCTTTACCCACTCTCGAGCTCCCTGCTACCCTCTTCACTCGCCTATTTTTTGTTCTCTCTTTTTTTTCCTCTTTCATTGCACGGTTTTTTTTTACACAGGTGCACCCATTATCCCTCGTTCCGCTTTCGCGTCGGTGTCCTATTCATTCACCGAGCCGAGTGGCCACTTGCTTGACGCTTTTTCACTTAATTAGAGGTCATAAACTGCTGCTCCACCGCACTGCTTCGCGTTACAAAAAAGGAGAAAGAGCAACGAGTGAGAGAGGGAAAACTGGACCGAGGACCTTTTTCTTTTTTGCGTTCCGCAAATTGCTCCGCACGGTTCCTCCTTTTTTCATTCTTTCCTCTCCTTCAACCCTTCCTGCTCTCCACTTCTCTCTCTTTCCCGTTCTCGTCCCTTGTCTAGCCCGTCTCTGTCTGCTCTTCGACCGTCGGTTTTTCAGGCCGGGGACTTTACACGGCGTGAAGAGTTAATTAGCGTGCAGTGAAAACGAGCCGACGATGTTCGGCCCCGTGTAATTAGCGTCACTGAGACGGTCCTGCATTTTCTTCGACGACCTCCTGGCAAAACACATTCACCATTCTTATCGGGCGATGTTGATTCTTCAACTGAACTGAACGAGTCGCAACGGGAGAGTGCAAGGAAATGGAAAATTTCTCACTTCGGTATTATTAAAACAGAAATGTACCATAATTACTGACTGTACTTGGCAACATTATATTTATTTCATTTTCTATCTCCCTTGTCTTATATTTTTATATCATTCAATTATAATTTAAGAAAGTATAGAAGGGAATTTTGAAAAATATCACACAGTTGGGGACAATACATGTCATATACACGTGTATTTCTGTAGAGAATTGAACAGTTGAATTCACATTAAAATCAAGTATGATCCATAAGTTGCTAATCTGATTGAATAAAAATCTCATAAAGCGTAATGCAAATAATAATGGGATGTGACAAGTATTTGAATACTAGAAATGATTGCTAAGTAAAAATAGTACAATACCATTGTTATTCTTCTACTAATTATTTTATACGTCTCCCTTAGACAATAGTACGGATATAATAATTGATACACGTTGACCGTTTGACCCTCTGAATCTCGCCTTTGTCCTGCGTCAGCCATCTGACGATCCAATAAATTTCAATCAACCTCAGACACCAGGCGTTCTTTTTCAATAAATTTCCTTAAGACTCAAAGGAACAGGAGCTATTCGTTTTACTCCTGGGAACGATTAAACTGCGAATGACGGAGATCCCGGCGAGATTCTTTCATTCAGCGACGTTGAAAAAGGAACACCGAGAACGAGAATCTCATTACGATTGAAACTCACCGGGAGGTGGTTGCAAATGAAATCTCGGCACCGGCAAGTTTTTCCACCGCTGGGCGAGAAACCGCGGTAAAAGTTCTCTACCGCTCGTGCTCTCACCCCCCCCGGTAGCCAGGGTGCCACCTCCTCCTTACCCACCGCGGTATTTCTTTTCTCGCGGTTCCGCTCCGGGCCAACGGGAAACTTTCCGCTTTTCCGCGAGCCGGCACCCGCGATGGAAAATCTTTTCACCGCGAGCAATTCGACCCGACGCAAGCGAAATTCTCCACTTTTGCCGGCGTAAAAAGACGGTACGATGGTGGTGGTGGTGGGAAAGTTCTTTTATTTTTCGTCGGGGGTACTTTTCTTTAACGGCGTTCGCTGGAAAAGCCAACGGTGGAGAAGAGAGGTTAGTCCGCCCTGAAGCCCGTCGCCCCCGCGCGTTCCAACCCCGAGGTGGGGTGAGTTTTGAAAGGAAAAGAACCAGAAGGAAGGGAGAGAAGTAAGGAGAGAATTCATCCCCCTCGGGCTCTCTCGTGAAAAAGGGGTGGCCGGGCCGCGCTGGACCAGCAGTGGGGGTAAGACTGGCGGTTGGCGCCCCTTCTTAACTACCCCTTACGAGGCAAATCAATAAAAATACGAAAGTGTTCTTCTTCTCTTCGTGCCTCGACTCCGGGCACCGTTCGTTTCACGAAACTTTCCACGGCTCTTCGAATGTGAAACTTGGTATCAAATCTCACAAGTCATATAGGTTCATAAAGTACAACTCATTTTTAATTATCATTCAATAAATGTATTTATCTATTAATGGAAGCAGGAGAAAAATGATGTCGTTTACTAACTGTATGCAAAGTATTTTGATCAAAATATATTTTATTATAAACTATTCTATAAGTTTTGGCTTTCGAGGTTTTGTTCATTTGCAAAGAATTATAATTAATCATTAATCCATACATTTCAAACCAATAGACATAAATAAATTGTTTGATCCAATGAAAGTGGTACAAATAATACAGTAGAATGTTGAAATAATGTACAAAGAAAATTCATAAGTTCCACACTTCAAGAAAAATTCATTCTTAATTTACATAAAATTGTAAGAAATTATCAAATAAACGCAACTATTGTATCTCATTTTTTATTCGCAATTATTACGTATTATAAAAGTATGTGTGATCTAATCTATTGATTTCCTAATCCAGGAATATGCAAACGCAACTGTTTTGATTTTACTTTGATAGCGTGAACTCCTATTTAGGGAAGTGCATCGCGTTGCGTTCCTGTCGCGCTTACAAGTGTCGTGGCATGTGTTTTGCTACCGGTGCGGTGCCAGCACTCGAGCCTCGTTGCGTGGTCCATCCCTCGCCTCTTCGGAACTAGCCTCGCGTTCTCGTTCTCGCTCGCTCCTGGATTGCAGCAAAGTGGCTTCAAGTGTCGAGGGTGCTCGTAAGACAAAGTGCTTCTCGAAGAAGCTGGCAAATGTTTGACCGATACTCGAACCCGTCTTACCGCCAAACGTTCGCAAGTAGCCAATTTGCTGATTTTTGCAATACACCTTCTTTACAGTTTTATACATACGTACTATCATATTACCTGGTCATACATTTTATTGAGTACATTGGTGTTTCGTTTTTTCATATACATATATTGCTTCCCTTTATTTTCATACATATTACAGTCTATATATAATAATACTGCGACATGTTAATTATTATTTGTTGACCAATTTCAGTTTTATATCCTAATATCGGATAAAACAATAAGAATAGTCATGACAACTAATTACATAGGAATCGCTCTTTTTATTCATACTTCATGTGAGTTTTATATCTGATGGAATGTATTAAATGAATGAATTCTTGTTTAACAAATCAAAATTAATACTTGCAACATTTTTTTCGGAGTATCTATTAGCTTATTTAACTATGATAGCGTGGTAGATGGCTCGATTCTTCCGCCGGCTGGCTTGGCGAATCGAAGGAAAAATGTATCCCCTCGCCGATAAAGCGGTAGAGATAGCCGAGGGTGAATCTTAAAATACAACCCCTTCGAAGAACCGGGCGCGGCGCGGGTAGGCTGGCATCCCCGGCTTCTTTCAGCGTCCCTCGGCCCCTCGCCACCCGCCCTGTCCCCCTGGGTTCCGGGGGCCCTCCCACGTCTCCGCGATCCGGCAAATCATCCGGGGCTAGCGTTCTTTTGTTCCTTCATCGTGCCGCGAAAGATTTTCTCCGGATGGAACGGCGAGGGGAGACGCGTACACTTGAGGAGCCTCGGGAAAGCCCAGGCAAAAACCCTCGAGCGAAAATGTGACACAGCACGGCGTCGTCTATAAATACGGGGTTAAGATGAGAAGTAAAAATGCGAAGGGTCGGGACGATCGTCATTGAAGATTATTTCAGAGAGGATAACGCGATCGTGCCACTAAAGTTTGATTTAACTCCGTTCTTTAAACCATGTCTGCATATTAATTGATGATATTTATTATACACTGAATACAGCAATTATAGAATCAATGATTAAGCCACAGTATAAGAAAGAACAGTAGGCTTACTCACAGTGCCGGCTTCTGTAATCTCATGACCAAGAGATTCACCATGTACTCGAGTTCTAATTTAACAGGTAAAACCATGATCTTATACATTACAAGATCGTGGGTTAAACAGACTCTATTGTTATTAATATGTAGCTGTAGTTGTCAGATACAATAAAGATCCTATGCAATCTTTTTCTAATTCCACTCGTTAAGAAGTACTTGACGATGGACGAAATAATTAATCGATTACTCCTGAAGTATTCGGGATAGAAAAAAATTGTATGCGACCTTTCATGTTTCATGAAATACACTATAACGTACAATTGTACTAACTATGTCTACAGAATGTTCGACTACTGGTGACAAAAAGGATTTTTTAAAGAAAATCTGTGACCACGTAACAAACATTTAATTATAAATAATTAATTGGATGAATCGTTAAGAATAACAGCAGCGAGGACAACAACGATAACCGGTTCTGGGGTGTGAGATCGTCGATCGAGCAGAAGTTGACTCGGCGCCGCGTAGCATAAAAGAAGCGAGACACAAAAGAAGAGGGGGGGTTCGGTCGAGGAGATAGAACTTGTTAGAGGGTAAAAATCTTAAGACCCCTTTGTCTCGGTGACGCCATTTTATCATTTCGCCTCGTCCCCCGCGACGCGACGACCGAACGCATCCCCCTCGTTCAACATATTTCAAGTGACAAAAAGCGTCCCTCTTCCGAGGAGACCGAGATTCGTTCTCTCGCCACCTACCTCCTACCCCCGCGATCCTACCCAACCGTCTCACCGCTCCCTCTCGATATGCAGCGGTGTTTCTAACTTTAATTACCCTTATCTGGTGGCAAAAAATACGCCGTCACTCGCCGTAAACGAATTACTGCGATTAAGGGTTTTCAATGGAACGTCCCCCGCTTCACCCATCGCCCCGTATTTCTCTGGATGAAACTGTAAAAACTGTGAAATCGTTGAGCGATTGTTCGCGCTACTAGAAGAGACGTACACATATAACCATCGGGAAATGAAACGATAACGACGTTACTCCGAGCAAATCTTAGAACGGTGCGGGGAAGGGTTAGATTTCTCTAATCGGAAACTCAATATGGAAACTTGGCTCGGTACTTTGCTTGCTCGCGGAAAGACGCTGAATTCGATTTCGGGCTTGTTTGCGCGATCGAATGCGACTGTGTATGTAGATGCTTGCTATCTTTCCGAGTGCACGATGCAACGAGCGAGCTGTGGAAATTCGAACGGGAAATCAATTATTTAGTAAATTAGTATTATATTAGGATTGTAACGAAATCGAAATGAACGAGAACAGGAGAATTGTGTATGAAGTCCATGAACAAATTCAACCAACGTTAAATTAATTCGAGAATAAGAGAGAGAATACCAGAAGTCTTACAATAAATAAACTTGGTGCACACAAACTTTCTGGGCGCACTGTACGCCGTACCAGGCAAGAAGCCTCGGCTTCATTATTTCCCTTCAAATCTTCTATTAACAGAAAATATTGAATACTCAATAACGATTAGGCTGATAAATAAAATTTGTAGAATGCCAATTTAAAAAATGAAATATAAGAACTGTCTTAGATTCTTCAAATATCATTCCTTTAAACACTTCACTCCTGCTCTATGTACTGTCACATTTTTTCCATACCTAAATTTCCTATAATTGCTTGAAATCCGCAGATGAATAAAGATCGTAACTCAATGAGCCAGAGACGGTATCGCAACGGACTATATCGGCCATGTTATTCGTCTTTCATTCGTACCGAAAACGAAGGGGGCGAGACGAGGCAGAGCTCTCGTTGACGTCAGAAAAACCACCCCCGTCCGATTCAGCCACCCTTCCGTCCCCCGAGTTTTCTTCCATCCCCTTTCGCCATTGCGGACCACCAGCAGCAGCTAGTCGGCGAGGGGATTGCCTGGAAAAAGAAACTCCGAAGTAAAATGGCCGTGCCGCGCCGCGCCTCGCTGGTTTCCTTTTATTCTTCTTCTTTCCCGACCATTTTTCAAGCCCCAACCCGTCCCTACTTCTTCCACGAAATCGAGAAGGAATCGGGTTGAAACGAAACTTCCTGTTAGTTTGTTCCGTTAATTCCCGGTGAAAACGGGACCGCATAAATAGAAACCAATTAAGCGTTCTTGTAATTTTCAATTAGATCCTCAACCTTCTTTTTCCATTCGATTTTTAGTATTTATAATCTCTACCAGACTTCAAGTGCATGCAATTAGAGTTTAGCTTTAATGTAATTTACTGTAAAACATACAAAATTTGATATTTTATAATTCTATTAAATCAACCATGAGATGGGAAGCAAACATCGATTTACACGTATGTACATAATCTCTGGCTGCTTTTTAAAATTCACTGATGGATTAATTTACATTGCTTGCGTCAACAGTGCCGCGACACCAGGTTAAAATCGACTCACAATAAATTCATAAATGAGATATTTCGCCATTTAAATCATTAAACAAAACCGCCATATATTTACTCTAGTTAATTTTTAATTGTACATTTAGTACTCCTTTTCTGTTACAATTCTAACATTCCATAGTTCTCGAACGCAATCAATCTCCGTTGGAATTCTTTACTCATATGTAACCTAAAAAAAAATGTTTATCCACTAATTAACGGGATGTAATTATTAAGAGGAAGTATGTAAGTACATGGAGCTTAGCTCCTCGCTACGTTTAGCTTCGCGGGGAACAAGCGTAATCTTACACGCAAACCGCAGAATCGGAACACTTGAGAACAATACGCTATTCAGTTTCCCTCTCCGTCGTCGACGATGCAAAATCGGAAAAACGAAAAAATGAGGGTCGAACTTTTGTTCGAAGCCAAGGTAAAACGCGATATTCGCAGGCCGAGCTTCATCAGTCGAAGCTCCCTTTTAGGAAGTTCCGTTTTACTTCGGGATTAACGGAGCTTTCGCTAAAACTTGCAGTTTTAATTTCGTTTTAATCGGCCGGTCGAGGCTCGCCCCGGAAAAATCCTCCGTTATTGTTTCACGATTTTGCGGTATCGCCGATGATTTCGGATTTAACAAATAATACGGTCCATTGATTCCTCATTATACATTTCAAATACAGTCTGTTTATTCTATTCTAATTGATATTGTTAAATCATGAAAGAAATATATTATCCTGAGTTTTGTTATTACAGAATTCAGAGTAGTAGTGGAAAGACTAAATTCATAGTTCTTTACTTTTCTCTTCTTTTTTTTTATAAGAAGGACATAATTTGCGAAATGTAATTTACTGTAAAACATACAAAATTTGATATTTTATAATTCTATTAAATCAACCATGAGATGGGAAGCAAACATCGATTTACACGTATGTACATAATCTCTGGCTGCTTTTTAAAATCCACTGATGGATTAATTTACATTGCTTGCGTCAACAGTGCCGCGACACCAGGTTAAAATCGACTCACAATAAATTCATAAATGAGATATTTCGCCATTTAAATCATTAAACAAAACCGCCATATATTTACTCTAGTTAATTTTTAATTATACATTTAGTACTCCTTTTCTGTTACAATTCTAACATTCCATAGTTCTCGAACGCAATCAATCTCCGTTGGAATTCTTTACTCATATGTAACCTAAAAAAAAATGTTTATCCACTAATTAACGGGATGTAATTATTAAGAGGAAGTATGTAAGTACATGGAGCTTAGCTCCTCGCTACGTTTAGCTTCGCGGGGAACAAGCGTAATCTTACACGCAAACCGCAGAATCGGAACACTTGAGAACAATACGCTATTCAGTTTCCCTCTCCGTCGTCGACGATGCAAAATCGGAAAAACGAAAAAATGAGGGTCGAACTTTTGTTCGAAGCCAAGGTAAAACGCGATATTCGCAGGCCGAGCTTCATCAGTCGAAGCTCCCTTTTAGGAAGTTCCGTTTTACTTCGGGATTAACGGAGCTTTCGCTAAAACTTGCAGTTTTAATTTCGTTTTAATCGGCCGGTCGAGGCTCGCCCCGGAAAAATCCTCCGTTATTGTTTCACGATTTTGCGGTATCGCCGATGATTTCGGATTTAACAAATAATACGGTCCATTGATTCCTCATTATACATTTCAAATACAGTCTGTTTATTCTATTCTAATTGATATTGTTAAATCATGAAAGAAATATATTATCCTGAGTTTTGTTATTACAGAATTCAGAGTAGTAGTGGAAAGACTAAATTCATAGTTCTTTACTTTTCTCTTTTTTTTTATAAGAAGGACATAATTTACGAAGAGATCTAATATGTATTTAATATGTCCAGTTTTCGGTGATATTCGAAGCGACATTGTGCAATCTAAGCAATTCCGAAAGGAACTTAAAGCGGCGCTGTCTCAGGGCGGTACTTTAAGTTAAGCCGATCGCGCGTGTAACTTCTTGTTTACTATTTGTTAAAGTATCCGCGGTAACCTGCCAATGGACAGTGGATTTTGTGTGTTCTTAAAAGATTCTACCACGTAAACTGTATGAATAGATGTAATACAAAAACGTATGTACTATTCAGGTAGATAAATCTATATCGAAGTATTGCGACAGAAGTTATTTAAACAATGTAGAAATAAATAATAGGAAGTGAGCAAAAAATAATCTACGAAACACCTTTGAACTGTCTTTCAAATCACAAATAATCACAGTTTCAAAATTTGTCAGTTCCCAATTGCTTTTAAACAGAAATTGCTTCTTGAGACAGATTAAAGTACATAAGATCAACGGAACGTACCAAAAAAAGATCAAGCTCTGATCCACACGTTACACAATTACTAACATACACAACATCTTGGCCAACAGATCCGCTCACACGATTCATTTATACTTTCGAAATAATGCATTGAATACGAATATACAATTAACCGATATATCGAAGATTGGTCGCGATCGAACGCAATACCGAGGCAAGCCCGCACTCCCGACCCGGCAAAGGAACCTCGTGAAACCGAAGTCGCGCGTTCTCCAAACCGTGGGGGTCGACGCAAACGATCGAGGGAAACCGCGAATCACGGCGCGTAGGTAAATCGAGCGCCCGGGTTGTACGCTCGTGTCCAGCAAAAGCTATCTAACTCGGTTTCGTGGCCGAGATCACGCCGGCCAAGCCCTCCCCACCATCGCCGCCGTCGTGAAACGCGGAGGCCCTTTGATCGCGGCGAAAAAATCCGGAAACCCGTTCCTCTAAAAGTGACCCTACCTGGCGTGCGTAGCTTTTGTGGAAGCACCGAAGGGGGAACGGCGAGGAGAAGAGGAAACCGAGGAGAAAGGAAGAGGGAGAACGGGACACGGGGCTAGCAAACGGTCCTTTACGCATTAGCATAACCCTTGCGAGCTGTCCACGTGTGCCGCCGGGGCGCACGACCGTGGGAGAGGGGTGGGGAACTGGTCAGGTAAGTTTTTTCGCACTTTTTAATTCCCGATGACCAGATGCCCTGGCCGGGTTGCGTTCAAGGGGAGAGATCTGACCTCAATGAGAGAGAGATGACCTCCCCTTCTCGGCCGACCGGATGACCCTAGAAAAATTGCGGAACCGGTTTCTCATTTGGCCCGTATATCCCTTCTCCACGGATTTTTCGGACGTTTAACGGTCACCCCGGACCGGGTGCGACGCGACCACGAACCAGTCCTCAGGTAAGTAAACTTAACGCTCGTTTGTACCCAACCGACCCCTTCACTTCCTTCTGGACACGAGCTTCTTCCTTGCATGGAGGATACAATAAGAATTGTTATTCCTAGACGACGGTTTTAATTTAAGAAGTGTGTTTTGTCATTTGCACTATGTATTTGTGCCTTACATGATATTTCTAAGAATAGCCTTAGAGGAATTTGATTTCACATGCACGTATCCATAGTTTGTTGATATAACGGCACTTTCGGTGGCAATAAGCGAGGAGGCATTACTTCTGATCAGTCCGACGATCGAGGAGAGGCGATCGACGATAAATCGAGGCGCGAGACGTGCACCAAGCGAGCCGGAATCATTAATTCCAAGCGTCAGAAGAGTTCGAAACTCGAGGAATCTCCAGGGTAGCGCGGATAGAAGAAAGAAGAGAGAGTGAGAGAGAGTGGCGACGGTTATGTAGCCAGCGCGGAAAACGAAATCGCTTTGAACCGGGTCTACTCCTTTGACCCGTCCGTTCTTTTCCCTAACAGGCAATTTGGTTAATGACTTCTCGATAGTCGGAATAAACGATGACCCCGAATCTTTTAGCCCCGATACCGAGTTCCCCGAATGGGGAGGGAAAACGGGAATCAGACTTGAGGAATAAAGGAACGCGGGGTCGGGGAACGCGATAAACGTTTCCCCGGGCATGCCAGTTTCACGTGAAAAGAAACTCGAAAGCGGTCGCTGATTCGGAACGAGGGTAAAAAAAGGCAAAACGAAGCACGCGGCGATTCTCGCGGCACCACCCCCTACATTTCTCTCCCGGCCGAGCGGAGAATCGGACAGGGAAGTTAACGAGAGGAAGGTTTCCGAGGAGAAAGAGAGAGAGCTAGGAAGCGGCGCGCCGGCGAGTCAAGGGGTAGGTAAGAAGAAGAACGGGGGCCTGGCCGTGGCGCTGGCGGTGGTAGAAGGAGGGCGGCATTAATTACGGTCTTTTATTATAAAAACTGAACTCCCTCCGGCCAGGAGAGAACGAACAGAGAAGCAGATAAGGAGGGAAAAAGCGCCCCGGCTCCGACTACTGCCACCCGCCCGCACCCCACGCCACCCCCATCCGAGCAGCCAACCCGCCCGGCCTTCTTCGGCCACGGAACCTCTCCTTCCTCTGTTCAATTTAAAATACTTAATCTGTCTTAGTCCGGAGCCGCGCGAGGTTGTCAAATGCAACTGTTGTTCCCGGATGACGATCCGGCCGCGCCGCGCTGTCTCCGAGACTTCCAGCCACGCAACGCTAGGCTCGCTCCGCCGATCTCACTCCGTCTCCCCCGGCTTTCCGCAAGATGAAATAATTGTGACAAGACGATATCCAGTTATTAATCCCTTATTTTCAATTGCAGCTCTGCATATTTCCTCTGGTCAATGTCTATGCGTTTAATACTTTCTATATAAATAATATGCAACCATGTGTTTCCTGGTCGTTCTTTCTGGCATTGTATTATGTGCTGAAAGAGACTGAAATGATTCTTCTTTCAGGTATATGATCATACTTTTCTATTTGAATGTATTCTTTCTGAAAAGGATGTGTTCTTTCCATTCATTGCGATTCGCTAATAAAAAGTGAAAGAACGACAATTTATTAAGCGCAATAGGGATGTTTAAATGTTCACATGTTCCAGTAGTATAATAGAAACGAGAATATAACTCAAATACTGTTCAACTACTGTGATGAGATGTAATGTTATGAAATGTGTTAATAAGTAATTAATGTGGAAATCTCGCACTGAAAATGACATAATTGAAGTACAGTTGAAATGGTATTGTCACTCGATCACTACAAATTATGTATCCTGCCTATCCTAATTTTATTACTGGCGCTACTGTGAAGTGGTGAAATGATCATTTATTCAAATATTTTAATGGGCATGATAATATATTTAATGCATTGTCAATTAAAAAATCGCACCTGCAAGTGCAAATGCAGAATAATATGTGAATTATGTAACATTCCAAATGAGATGTTGTTTTATTCATGTGACAGGATGAACGGACACATTGACGTATCTTCTCTATAAATTACTGTCTTTACTCATTTTATGACCATTCTTATTAAGATTTAATGTATTTTATATGATCATCGTTTAATTATTACTTTTTTGTCATTATAGAGATTAGTGAAGAAAATGCAGATAGAGTTGAGGAGCGACGGGTCCAGTTGAGAACCACCGGGGAAAATAAGAAACGGGAAAACGGCGAGGATTTTAATTTGCATCCCCGTACCCCCGCGGCGGCCACCTTCCACCCCTCGCGCCACCCTACCGCCCTTGTCTTTTGCAGAGCTCCGGAGAGCCTAGCTACTTTCCTTTCCAGAGCGGTGGAAGAAGGAAGGGGGCCAAACGACGAGGAGGCAGAAGAAGAAGAAGAAGAAGAAGGGGCCAAACGGTTGGAAATATCATAGCCGCACGCGCAGAACGAAATTACCGATTTGCCTTGGGCGTTCCTTCCTTTTTTCCGATTCCGTGCTCTCTTCTCTTTCCTCTGCCGCCGCGTCTCGTCTCGCCTCGGCTCACCACCCTTGGCTCCCGTCACCCCCTCGCCCAGCATCGCCTTTCCGATCCTTCTTCTTCTTTCGACCGAACCGCCGCCGCCCGACACTCGCCTCCTCGACGGACCAGCCCTTTCTCGGCAGGAACCCCCGGCATAGCAAATAACTTTCATAATTCTCGATTAGAAAGTTTTCGTTCTCGGCCCGAGAGAAGAAGGGGTCATCCTTCGTTCCGGCCAACCCTTTGCCGTCTCTCTTTCTCCCTCTCATCGGAGCTTTTTCTCTTCTCGTACCAGGATTCGAGGAACGAGGGATGAAAATCAAAATCGACTTTCGACCCCCTCGATACACGCCGCTTCTTGATCAGGCTTACTCTGATAGGCATTGCTCGCATTTTAATACTCCGCGTTGTGTCAAGAGGGCTAGGTTACATTAAAGAGAAGCCGTGCTTTGCTACTCAAAAGATATTTGATATCTTTGAGAATATTATGTAGACGACTTTACAACAAGAAATGAAATTCTGCTCAATATTCCTTGTGTATCAACTTCATTCAACTCGGGTCGGATACAACTTTTGTTTTATAACAAATCATTAAAGAACGGGTCAGTTCTTTCATTGGAGACCGGAAAATTCGTTTAACGCTTAACACAAAGTATTGTGTATGCGATGGGACAAAGGGTTGGAATTGTGTATCCAAGAGCGTGCCGAGATCCCATTGAAAGTACCAAACGAGCCGTCCTGGGTCCGAAGGCTGCAGGGTCAGCGGCAAGGGTCACTCGACATATGGCCCAAATTCTGGGCCGAGCACTCATTACGCCGCACGAATTCGATCCCCTCCTGATTTCGGACAATTCTCCATACACGCCCCCTTCCCTTCGTTTATACTGTAAGCATCCTGCTCCGAATACGTTTCTAACATCGTCTATGTATTTTCTATCCGTACTGGACATACCCGTTTAGTACTTTAGGGGAGAATTGAATCGTCGTGTACCAATGCACATAAGATTTCTGTCATTTTATATTATACAATGATTATGTTTTATAAATATAACTTTTCTTAAAGAATTTTTAAGTATAATTAATCGCGTTTCGATGTTACATGACATATTTCATCCTACTCTTAATCGACGAAGGGATGAAAGTTGAAAGTCAACCGTCCACGAAAATGACCACGATTTCTTTCATTCGAAAGTATCATTGTACTGCTCTTACGATTCCTTTCTTAAAAATAAGCTGTGCTCGATCTTGCATAAGAATCACCCGTGATCAGGGCGCAAGGAGGAATTTATTTTCGAGACGCGAAGCGAATGAGTCGGTGGGTCAAAGTTCCGTCTGATTTCGCTTCGGCCGAACGCGGAGAGGCTCCGAGTTAACAACGAAAGAGAGTTTCGCGAAGATCAAAAAACAAGGAGAACGCGCGTTCGACGGTGAAGAGTTGCGAGGTAGTGGACGCCGAGAGGGGAGACTCGAGGTGAAGTCGACGGTAAAGGTCGGAATAAAGAGAAATCGAGAGAAAGAGGAAGAAAGAGATCAAGGAAAGGCTGCTCTCGGCGTGGCATCTCGGCCATGGTACCCACTTCGCTTCATTAATTTCTCGCAAAGACAGTGTCAGAGTCACGGGGGTTTTCCGGCTGCAGGGACTCCTGGGGACCCGAGGCACCACTCCTACGCTCTGGTATTTAAATTCAAAAACGAGAGCGAACCCAACCCTCTCCCTCTTTCTTTCTCTCCGGTTCCTTTGCCCCGTCCCCGTCCTCCTTCACCAGCGGCGGTCGTCCTCGTCCCGCCCGCGGACTTCCCTAATGTTTTTCTCTCGTTTCTCATCCTTCGTTCGAAGCGCGGCCCCCCTAAACCGCTCTCCTCCAACAGTGCCACCCTCCCGAGCCACCCCTCGTTC